ATATGCTTTCACATAAATTATCTTATCTGATACACACCACCCAGAGGCAGGACTTACCCACATTTTAAAGAAAACTAAAGGTCAGAGGAACCACATGACTTGATACAGGTCACACAGCCAGAAAGAAACCAAATCTGAACTCCAAATGAAGAAGCCACTAAGGATACAGCATCCACTGTTTGGAGAAACCACATACAAGGACCTCTCTATGGGCAGTAAACCCCACACCCACATACAAAGCTTTCACAAACATAGGTGCAGGGCAGAGTTCTACCAGGCTGTGCAGAGAGTGTCTCCACCAAAAGGCTCAACAAATAACCATATGGTTTTGCATTAAAGAGTTTTATGGTGATTCATAAAAAAGCTGATTCAATAAGTTTCCACTAAACTACTAGTGATTTTATCTTCATTCTGTTTACTATGCCTACATAAGTGTAATCTATAACAGCATATAAGTTTGTTGAACTGTTATGAAACTGTTTTATATAATTTAAAAATATTTATATCATTTAGGGGCACCTAGGTGGCTCAGTCGATTAAGCATCTGACTCTAGGTTTCGGCTCAGGTCATGATCTTGTGGTTTCATGAGTGCGAGGCCCACATCGGGCTCTGCACTGGCAGCTTGGGAATCTCTTTCCCTCTCTCTTTGCCTCTACCCTACTTATGCTGTCTCTGACTTTCTGAAAATAAACTTGAAAAAATATTTATATTATTTAAAACAGATACAATAGGGTATCAAGAGCCATAGAAGAACCAGGATACTGTCAGGTAGTCAGAGCTTGAGTCTTGGTTCAAGCCATGAGGCACCGCCCTCACCAACCCCGGCTTCCTGAGTATAGGAGGGACGTTGTGAGGATTAGATAAAAGCACATGGAATCCCAGGCATGGACTTGGCCATGGCCAAGGCTTCTATCTGGCTCCATTTCCATTTCTCTTCTTTTAACAATATCAAAAGAATGAACTTTTGGAGAACTAATAATGCTTTCAAATAGAGAAGTAATTGTTTAGTCATACTTATTAAGTAATGCTATTTGGATCAAGAAACACTGGACTTTCTATGGTATCAGCTTTTTACTGATTTAGGAGCAATTCAGACAAAGTCTTTGCAGTGCCTTACCTAATGCTCCAGGCGAGTTCTGATTTGGTTTCTTTCTGGCTATGTGACCCAGACCACACAAGTCATGTGGTTTCTTAGTTTCCTTGTCTTCATAATGTGGATAATGCCTGTTTCTCAGGTTTGTGTGCATCAGATAAGTTAACTGCTCCCCAGTACTGATATTTTTATTTAGATGAGACCCTTCAAAACACAGACTTCTAAATTTTGGATTTTACTCATTAATATCAAGCTCAAATTTGTTCAAAGATATGTGTTTCTTTTACTATTTAGGAATCCCTTTTATTTTGTGAAAATAAAAACATCATTTCATTTTTCCATAAGTATTTTCTGTAAATGAAGGCCTTTTATAAATGGTAGTAAGTTTCACATTGGGAACTTATCCTTCCTTTCTTCCTAGCTTTGGAGAATGTGGTCCCTAAACTTGATTAGCCTCATTACGCTCCTTTATTATTCATTTTCAGAGTATTCTGACTTCTAAATATCACTTGAGAACATTTCTAAAGATTGCGAGTAAGTCCTAAATGCTGGAAATATTTACCTCTGTTCTGATCGACCTTCCATATTTTCACTTTATTTTCACTATTACAGAACTCAGACTGAAAAGCTGATCAGCCACATGCTATGTGCACATGAGCAGTTAGGTAGGATACTTCATTTTGTACTCAAATGAGGTAACAGATGTGAAAGTACTTTGAAAATTTAAAAGCTCTATAGGCACTAAATTATTATTATACAAACGTGAGTGTGACATTCATTTATTAGAGGCAGGGAAATGTGGGAGCATTTCAGAGCTTCTGAGCTACTAAGTCCAATTTAGAATTGTAGGCCAGAAAAGCGATGTTTTCAGCATGACAGAAACCCATTGTCTAGATGTGATTATATCATTACATTCAGTGGCTTAAAACATGTTATTAGTACTGAACTAAATTCCATCTCTCACATACTCATTGAAGACAATTTGATGCCAGAATATTTCTTACATCAGAATAAAAGCAAACAATAGCCACAGTATTTAAAAGCCGTTGGATTCCAAACAGGTATTTTTCATAGTGATTCAAACTGAACACTAGTGTTCAAACTGAACTCTACTGTTTCTTTTAAACATCATTTGCCAATGAGCAAATTTCATAGTGGAACGGACATTAAATTTATCTCAATTTAACTGTAAGAATCGGTTTTTCCAGGTTAAGCAAAGCACTTCCAAACATTTACTGAGTAGATCTTAAGAAGGCAACACTCCTATGAATTACTGCAACCACCAAGAACTTGAGGTTTCTGGCCTATGTCTGGAACTCCAGATCACTCTGGTTGAGTCTCTGCTGAGAACAGATTTTCTGGCCTAGGGATTTCCTCTTTAACTGCATTTTCCTTTCTTTTAGTAAGTAAGCAAGCCTGAAGACAGACTTGTGTTGCTTGGTTAGGGGATCCTTACCCATGTAGTGGAAGCCCCTTGGGAGAAAGGCCCTGGGAAAGAGCCTCAGGGACCAAACTCCTGACTGGAAGGAGGTGTAACTAGCTGCTTGCTTACTGAAATTTTAATTTCTAATTCAAGTCTTTAGGAAGACCCAACTTTATTGGCTAAGCACATAGCCTCAGGGAAGAAATGCGGCGTAAGGAAAGCATAACAGGTTGTTAAAAAAGCAAATAGATTTAAAAAATCATCCTAGCAAATGACCAGCAAAGAAAGGATAGGAAAAACACACCATCTGAATGGATGAGTGATAGAAAAGCACTTAAATAAAACTGTTCAACAACAAAATCACAGAGTCTTTCATATTTTGACAGGTTAAAGCTTTGAGACTATTTTTAAAAGGTATACATTCATTTCTCCACTATTTCTGGCATTTCTAGACTAGGAAACATTCTCAAGAGAAACAAACAAAAAACTGCAATTAACACAACCAAAAGAGTTGCGATCCCAGAATCCTTTTTTTCTTATTGATTAGATTCCTGTAGTGCCATCTCCTATTTTCTCTGCTTTCTCTGCAGCCAAAGTGCTGTATTGAGCGGCAGGATTTCAGAAAGGTCGAATACGCTCCTGGCTCCTGGCCTATGTCTACACCAGTCATTCGATTTCTGTGAGCAGTAGACATGAGGAAAACAAGCACATCCACACAGACCCTCTGTGGCTCTTATCTCATCCTCTCTCTGCTTTTGGGCCTTTCTCATCTGGCCAGATACAAGTTCATTCAAATTTCTCAAGGGTGAGACAATTCCTGAAAGGGATGCCTTCCAATCAGAGTGATGGGGAAAACATCTGGGCTATTCAACAGGAATACCAGTCTATGAATCTCGTGAAGGGCATAAGGGAGAAATCTTGCTAGATTATCTCAGAGTGTTCACACACAGGCAGAGAAGTAATTAATTTCCTCTTTGAAAAACCTGTATTGTGTGCAGAAATGTCATAAATTATAGGAGGATCTCAGATAGGTTTTTGACGTTGGCATAGTCGATGGTTGCTAATGCTCTTTAATGAAGGATCCTCCTTTACCCAGGAAAGAGAAAGGTTCAGCAAAGACCCAGTTAGTGCTAATACATAAAGACTACATGGCTCAAACTTAAAATAAACCATGTCTCTGAAATGCTGTCATTACAGAAATTTAATCACATATATGTGATCCACAAATAATAACAAGTAGCAGGAAATACATGAACAGCTTGGGGGGAAAAGGCTTTCAGATTCTAAAAGAACATCAGTGAAAACAAGAATAAGGATTAAAAGATAATACTTAACAAGAGAGGAAGGGAAATTATTCATTTCTTGTAACTCGTACATTCTCATCTCCCCTTCAAGAAAAGATTCTCTGTAATCCTAACATTGCTATTCCCTGCACAAAGAACCCAGAGAACAATTCAATATTGAGAGAGCTAAAAGGAGTTGCAATATACCAGACTCTCTCTCCAGGGCATCTGCAGGCAGAAAAGCCATGGTTTCCAGAACATTCTCTTCACATTTTTCTTTCATGAGCAGCAGCACAGAATGTTTACCAAAGGCTTTTCAAAACAGAATCTCACCAAACAGTTGAGAAAAATATTTAACAAGCAAAGCAAAGCAATTACAGTCAAATTTTCACCTCAAGATTCTCATCTTAAATGTGGGAGGCAGAGAAGCCTCTTAACACACCAGTCTGATCCTAGAAGGAGGATGAAAACAGGTGATTCTGCCGGTTGTTGTCAACAAATCCCAATCTTTGAGTCTTGGGGAGAAATGCTAGAGCTATAGCTGCCCCTCTGAATGTGGGTTAAGAACAGCTCCACTGTTGGGTCTGGCTGACTCATGTTTCTGGACAGCAACCTGAGGGCAGGTGAGACATGGACACCTCTACCGAAACCACAGAAAGGGCTGAGCATGAAAGATCTCTCTTTTCAGTTCTTTGTGTCAACCAGAATTATCACCTTCAACTACTCAAGGTGACACTATGAGATGATGCAACCAGTCCCAACAGTGCGATACTGTTCAAATATGTTAACTTGGAAGGAAATTAACAACATCATGAGGAGTTACTATTTCCCCCCGACTTCTGTTCTGTCATCTAACCAATTTATACTTTATAACCAGATGTTTATTATCCATTTTCATTATAATTTCATTCTTACACGGTATGCTTCCCTTTGGCGCAAAGACCTTCTGGGTGCAATGAGATCAGACAACTTCTCCCATAAGAATGGATAACAAGGACCTGGGTATTACATTCCATTCCCAGAAGGTGTGTTTCAGCCTGGTTTGAGCAAGTAGGGAATGAAAGCCATAGCATAAGATGGTAAAATTCCAGTTGGGTAGAAAACAGGCATCCACTCACTGTAATCTTGTGTTCAATATCAGAATGCGTTATTCGATATGGGTGAAAGGCAAAAACATCACAGAGGCTTTTAATACCTTACCTGGGCCATCTGCCTCTCCAGTTTTGATCGGGGAATATCATCAAAGTAGTTTTCATTTCTTCTCCTCCTTGCATCGCCCTGCATGATAATGTGAGGAACGTCTAGGGAGCCACCAGTGGTGTAAGTGCTTTGGCTAAGTGATGGAGACAACTGAGGAGGAGTGTGATTACCACTGGGATCCTGAATGGAAATACATCATGAAATAAATACCATGACTTGTGGCTAACCTCTGGTTTCACAAAATTGTGAAATACTGACAAGACAAACTGCAGGGGTGGGGAGTCATTTCTGAATCACCTGCTAAGGAATGGATGACATTCTATCATTTTATTAATGGTGTGATCAAGGCAATACTTTTCCCCCTAAGTATTTCAGAGCGGAGGTTTCAAGGATAATGAGTCAGGTCCGATTTTCTTATACCAGTGCTACAGAGGAGCTCAGGAGAGAGGCACCCATCTGTTGGGCACCCCTGACAGTATCGGGTGTGTTTACAAGCTGCATCTCCATGTGGACAATGTCCTCACTGTAGTAGACACATGACAAGAAAGCCCCAGTGTGACCTGATGGGTCTTGATTTTCCATCAAAGGGTGATCTGGCAATCGGGCAGGGAAGAGGACACAGTACGGAAACACAGCATGTCACACGCAGACTGCAGAGCAATGCATATAATGACAGGGGGATGTGTTTCAACGGCAAAGATGACTCAAGCTGAGGGAAACTAGTCAGAAGTCAGATAAGGGGAAGCAGACGGCTCTAGGGTTTGCAAATCAGAGGGTTGGATTGTGCTGGATCTCCAGGTCACTTCTCCCCCAGATGTCCGGGGCCTCCTGTGACAGATTAAGATCCTGCACTTTTTCTTGGGAATCTCTGTCTTTGATCTGTTTGTTGTTCTCCTAAATCTCTTCCAGAGAGCCGGAGGGAGAGATTCAGGAGGGGAAGGAAAGAGAGCAGAATAAGTAGGAGGAAGTTACTTGTCTAGAGAGGCATTTTAGGGTGTTTACACTGACGGCACCTACATCTTTACCTCCTTTCGTGTAGCAAAATGAAGGTAAGACAATAATCACTTTCTAGTCTTATTTTCCCCCTAATTTATTTGAGGTTCCCTTTACTAGGAAGAAAAATAAGTCCTATTTTTGCTTTCACTGCTCCCAAAGCCCCCAACTGGTTACTCTCCCAAAGTTCCAGTGTATCCCAATTCCCCCAGTGCTCAATTTTCCTGCTGGTTCCCTCCTCCAGCCACATTTCTTGCATTCCCTGAAATCATTGTGTATCTTCTTCTTTAAAATGGAATCAGACTCACAGTCTTACCAGCTTCTCTCCCACCTGACCCTCTGCTGTGCTGGCAGTAGTTATGCTGTTTGCTGAAGTTCACTGATAAGAGGCTTTCTACCGCATTTCATTGTTGGCAGTTACATCTAAGTGCCATGCTTGTGTGCACTGTTTGCTATCGTTGCCTTTGCTGACATGTGCAGAAAAGGGATCAGAAGCCAGTGCAGGACGAAATAAAGAGAAAAGAGTTGGAACTCTCCAATCGGTCATGGAGATCCCAGCTTTTTGATGTGTTTTTGAGAAGTTCCAACAGGCCTCGTGGAAACCAGGGACTGTTGGCTGCTCCTTTCTGCTGCCATTTTGCTGGCAATCAACTCTCACTTTTCTGTTCTCTCTGCTTTGCCCTTCTCCTTGCATTTTATCTTTGTCTCCCTATTATTATGCTTTCTCTCTAGTTTTTCTGCCCCATAATTCTAAAATATAGCTGAAATCATATATTAATGTTCTGGATTCTTTATTCTTAATTTTTGATGTGGGCAAAGCTGACAAACTTGTACTTCCTAAAAAAACAGGACACCCTAAGGTTAACTTTTAATTGACCTTTCCTTAGCTGCGGTCCTTGATTGATTTTCTTTCTACGGTTTTGAGGAGTTTGACAGAAAACTCATCTCTTACTTGGTACAGATGGGAGTGTGGGAAGGGGGCAGGGGGAGTGGTTCTTTAAAGGTGCTGGTTTGTCAGGTGTATGTCTAAAACTCAAAAACATACATTTATTTAACCAATTGAGAAAAATAAATCTCATCTTACAAAATGCAATCAAAAGTGAGACTGCTTTTATACAAATAAGGTAAGTCACATGGAAAACAGCCTGTGCTTCTTGATCCATTGCTTCGGTCATTTTATTTTATTGCACAAAATAATTTTTGAGGATAAGAGTGGAGGACATAACGAACAAGCTGGGCACTTACCCTGAGGGTGATGGACCGAGGGGGCTTCTGTGGTGGATCGTCGTGCAGCCTGTCTCCCAGAGATGCCAAAATACGTTTCCTGTGGCCAATCAAATTGATTTTTAAAACCTGAAATGACATATACTTGGGTTAAATACTTCATCTGAGAAAAATAATTTTACATGTCCTAAAAGATGAAAGAGTGAAGGGATCTGTGCAGTTACCTCTGCACCGTGAGGGATGTGTGAAATCAGGGTGGCCACTCAAGTCCAGAAAGACAGGAATGGCAGGGGCAAAGTCCAGGGGGACAGTGGGGTGGGGGTCGGAAAAGAGAGCAGAGACATGGCTCTTTCTGCGGGTGCTGCCTTGGAGTCTAGATCTCCACTCATCAACGACAGCCCTTTCCAGAGGATAAGTCATGTTAACCCTCACCAGCAGACAATTCTACCATAGATAGTGTCCTATTGCTCTTAGAATAAAATCTGAGTCCCGACCTGGCCCCAAGGCCCAACACAGCTGGTTGCCCTCTGCCTCTCTCTGTGTCCCTCCATTCAGGATGCCCACACTGGCCTTCTCTGTTCCTTGAACAGTTCATACTCATTCTTGCCATGGGGCCTCTATCCCTTTTGTCCATCTGACTGGAATAGTCCCCTCAAGATTTTCCAAGGATGCCTTCTCATTCCTCTGGGGCTCAAGTGTTATCTCCTCACAAAAGCCTTCTCCCTCCTCTCACTATGAGAACCATGCCCTCAACCCCCATCACACTCTACTCCATGATCCTTTTTTTATCATTCTCTGCAATGACTTTATTTATAGGTTCAGTGTGTGTGTGTGTGTGTATGCGTGAATGTGCATGTGTGCATGCGCACCAATACCCCCCGGTAAACTTCCTACAAGCAGGGTCCTGTAGTATGTTTATCATTAGGATTTTCCAAATGCCTAAAGCAATGCTTGAAATAATAGGGGCTCAATGAATATGAAAGAATGAATGTCAATGTAGAAGAAGGTAGCAGAGGAGGGTTAATGTCAAGCACTGCCCACCTGGGGTAAGACTCAAAGTCTTCCCAGGATGGGATTTGAGTCTGAGGGTGCTACAAAGGGCACATCGTGGAAGAGATGACAAAGGGAATCAAGACTTGCAGAGAGGTTCTCTCAGTCCACATCCGTTCCTGGAGCTTTGCAAATGCCACCCCTTTCAACCACCCCAGAATCCCTCTCTGGAGGGGGTTCTTCTTGCTTTACAGAAGAGGAGCCTGAAAGTTCAGAATAGTTAAGTAGCCTATATAAGGGCCAGTACGCGGTGGCTTTGGGATTTGAATGAGGTTTGCCTGATTCCAAAACTTGTTTTACTTGAAGGTAAACGGCAAAGTTTGGGCACATCTCCAAATATTGCTGATGTTTTAAAACAGCACATTATAAATCCATTCATAAGAAATGCATTTACCTCTTCTCTGCCCATGTGTAGTTCCAGGACAGAACTGGAACTATTTGGGTAACTAGTTCCTAAAGTACACTACCCATAGTGTAAGTGATCTAAAAAAAATCTCTCTTTTAAGTTTTAAAGAGGAGAGCTGGGCATTCTCTGGCATTCATCCTGCACTATCTTGAATTTTTATTTGCCTATTTGTCAGTTAGCCTATTGGTCTTTCTGCCCACACAGATTCAGATTTTAAACCAGCAGTACGCTCTATTCTTTTCACATCTACTCTCTGACCCATGTCTGTCAATGATGGGGATGGCAAATGTTAATCAAGGTGAGTGTCCACATGCACCACATCCCTATGATTTTGTAAACCTTTATCTTGCCAGGCTGATGCATCCTGATCTTTGCAGTTCGCCTCCATAAAGCAGCTCCTCTTCCCCACAGATCATTTTAGTCAATTTCTGTACCTTCTCCTACCCTTTACAGCTGCTTAAGGTTTATCCAACAAATTACAACATTCCAGGTATATGTGAACCATGGCTTTACATCTGAGCAGTACACTATTTTCTGCTTTGAATGTTCCCTTTTAAATGTCCCTTTCCAAGCCCTCCTGATTCTGGCTGGCCTTTCAGCCACGGGAGGAAAAACTAGGGGCAAAAATATACACTGTAAGATCTCTTAACTTTCTTACAGCTGATAGTTCAAAGCCCTTTAATCTTGGAAAGGTGGTCTGTATTACTTCTCCCTAAATTCCTTATCCTACAGTCGTCCATGCAGATACCCATCTGCTGCCCTCCTCCCTACTCATGTAACCCTGTGTTCTCTTCCTACGTATATATTAGCCGGCTTGGCATTTCACTACCTGGAGGAGTTTTGCAGTTTATGCAAATCCAGAATTTTACCATATACTCCTCAGATGATTTATAAATATCCTAAATAAGGATGGTCCCAGTGTCCATGACTTGCAGGCAACATTGTTTACACAATCCAGAGAAATGCACTCATATCTTCGCACTGTTTCTTTCTTTTTCTAAAAAATGCATCAAGATCAAAGAATTCCTCCATTTCAGAAAAATATAACATTAACCTTTTCAAATGTATTTGCAAGTCTAAAAAACACCACATTTTCCTCATTCCATTTTATTCTAATTCTCAATTATTTTGCCAAATGCTTCTATTGAATATAAATTCCTCCCATAAAGTCTCCACTGTCTTCCTCCCAATAGCTAATTGGACGGATGCTGATGCTGCTACCTTGGGCCCTTGGGTCCTGCTAAGAAATGCTTTTATCATAATAAATACATTCAAAATTATTTTGACAAATAACTGACACTAAATAACAAAAAAATTGTGGTAAAATTGAGCTGGTGTCCCCTCCACTGCTGCTTTTGGTTTACTCTCCAACAACTCAATTTGGGACAAGTTACCTGAGCCTCTGATCTCCGTTTTCTCACCTATAAAGTGAGGAAGTAAATGCCAATCCTAATGTTGGGAAATGAAGAGTGAGATTGTGCGAATAACCAGCTCAGGGCCTGGCATAGAGAAGATACAACCGTCACACGGTGCTTCTTCCAGTTAGGGGGTTCTAAGAATGCACGGATATCATGACCCAGGAAGACAGGGACTTTGTGATTTTCAAAAAGTTAATCACATCAAACAAGTTTGCTGGTGCTTTGCATGCAGAGATTTGACTAACCTTGGAAAAAGCTCCCACTGAAGTGACATGTACTGGAAGGAATAGGTCTGGATTCTAGATGTAAATTTATTCCTAGACTTAATCTAAGAGAATGCATGGTATTCTCCCAGGTAGATTATTTAATCCCCAACAGGAAGGAAACTGAGGCAGTCTACACTGGAGCTCCTCTTCCATAGAACCGCCCGGAAGAGGCCAGACAGATAGACAGATAGACAGATAGATAGGTGGATGGAACAAATTAGCACAGAGTGAAGAGTTGTGTCAAAAATATGTGGGTAACTCTCATTTATTAGAAATGATCCCACATTACAGAAGATACTGATGATTACCATACTTAACATCTGCTATGGTCTAGTTGTGCTAGAAACTGTGCTAAGTGCATTATATATGTGTAAATATCTAATTTAATCCTTATAATAACAGTATCATTCTCATTTAAGAGACGCAACAGAAATACTGAGTAACTTGTCCAAGGTCACATTGCTAATGGCATCATGGAGGGGATGTGCACCTGATTCTTAACCTGCTCTTTATCATTTACCAGGCTCTTCTTGCTATCAATCTCTACACTGTTTGGCATTAGCTGCACTGTAGATTATGTGTTATGAGGCTTCTTAAAATGGTGCTTTTTAAATTTTGAGTTATCATGTCCAAAACATTTATAATGGGTTTTGATCATCTGCAAACATTAAAATACTAGAACTTCAATTCTGGACAAGGCTCATAGAAGTGTTAAAGCTTCAGGTCAAAAGAGCTCTGGTGGGTACCTTACAGAATTCCTTGTGAAATGCCTATATAGACAAAGGACAGGAAGTCCTCATAAACCCAAGATTCAATCTAAGTTGGCTAATAACAGAGTGGTAGGGAAGGTGACATTTGGCTTCAAAACTCCCAAGTCAACAATAAGAAATCAAATTGGCAAGACAATAACAGAATATTCCAAAGACAGATAGTCATTATGAAAAAGTCAAGTCCAAAGGCAACTGGGTTTGTCTTGGGTGAGAACAACTTAACATATGGTCATCATTGTAAGCGGACAGGGAAGTAGTGGAATCCTATCACCTCAGGTACCATAACTGATGACCAGACAGTTTGCAAACCTTTGGTTTTCAAAAAGCCAGAGCAATGATTACTGTAGTAGAGAAGAATTCTGTAAGGTTTTCATTCCTGCGTGGGTAGACGTGAACTGCATATAAAAGGAACCCCATGGGTATAAAAGGTAAAGTAATGGTAATATATTGGGGATTTAGTTATTCTAAGATATTGAGCCAATTCAGCTCAATTCAAACACTGATATTGAGTTTCTGCTACAGATTATTTGGCAATACAAAGAGGGAACTCAGAGAAACCGGACATGAATAACTACACGGTCAAACCCTTAACTAAGAAAAAATTATTATACACATGAGGATAAGAATGTGGTTCTACCTGCTGAATTCTAAGAGATAAGAAATAAAAGTTACTGCATATTTTCTTAATGGTTTTTATTACAACTATCATGAGAAATGTGAGCCAAAGGCAAGGAGTGTTGTTGAACCAACATGAGATTTCCTCATATTGGGACCCATTCATCAGAGCAGTAGCTGCCTCTAAGAATTTTCTCCAGTTTCATCTATTGAACAGGACATCTTCAGAACCCCCGTTGCAGATCCCGGCAAGAGGAGAATGACTGCCGAGTGACAATGCTGTAATGTTATGTCACTGTCTTTTATGTTTCTGGGTCTGGTTGTGGGACTTCTGCTAGACAGTGTCATACCATTACTCTCATACTGAATAGGCTCACATTAGAATATATGTCACAGCACTAGGGAAAGTCAGCATACTTAGATTTCTTTTTTTTTTTTCTTTCTTTTTAAATTTAATGTGATATAAGTTAAACATTAAATTTAACATGATTTAAATTAAACATGTTTTTTTCTTTATCTGCTTTTAAAAAGCAGTGTTTGGATTATAGTAACAATCCTGCTCTCCCACTGTAGAGACAGAAAATACAGAAAAACGAAAAAGAG